TTAAACTGAGATCTCGACAATAAAAGTCAAGGACACACAAATGCAGCGAGTGAATGATGCAACAGTGTTCACACACTGTGCAATATTTCTTAAAGTTACATTTTGCTTTGAGAGCAATCAGATTATTTTTACACGAGAAAATATTAGATTTGTTTCGACTGATGCCCATTACGCTTCACCTGAATCCTAAACAGCAAACTGATAAATAGGAGGTAGGTGGTGATTTGTTTATCTGCAGCCTCATCACATTAACTCAGTTTGTTTACCGTTTCTTTTGACTGGAAATCTGTTTCCAATTCAATTCAATTCAGTTTATTTATGTCGTGAGTCACGTGGGTACGTGTCACTAGTTGTAGTATGACAATATATCCCCGTTTATATGCATACTATATTCACGAGTTCCTCATCTTTCTGACTGTAATGTCGTGCATTGAATTTTAACAGAAATGCGAACGAGAGACGTTATTATCTTTGACCCATCAAAATGAATGTGGTCATTTATTTTCAGAATCAAAGTTTAACATCAAACATTTACATTAATTTGGCAAAATATGAAAATAATAACAGACAGTTTCACAGAAAATGAGCATCGATCACTCGGCGGTGAACGAGGACTTTGCTTCAGATATTTCTAAAATATCTGTACTGGTTTTGTGAGAGAGAGAGAAGAGTTTAAGATGAAATGGAGATTTATCTTACAGAGAACTATGTGAGGGAATTAATCTGTTTGACCAGAACGTGCACGCTTCATCAAATCTCAGCTCGCCTCCGGTACACTTTAGTCGAAGAAGAGACCGTTACCTGGTGATGATAGATCAGCTCGATAGGGAATCCTCCAGACCTTTCAGCGTCTCCGTTGAGAGCTGCTGAAATCCTTAGATAGTCGTGCGTGGGTCGTTCAAACAGAAGTTATAATTCCAAACGTCTCTGACTCTCCTGAATTCTCGAATTCTCTTCCATTCACTTCACCATTCTTCATGAATTACCCATGAATTCTACTGAATTCTCTTCAGAACTCCTTCAGAACTCCTTGAGAACTGCTTCAGAACTGCTTCAGAACTGCTTGAGAACTTACTAAGAACTAACTTGAACTGGAAAGTTGCCACATTTTAAATGGGTCGACTTCCGGTTCAATTTAGAGCTTTCTGATTCGTGGATGTACCAGAAAGAGGTGTGGTTTTTGACGTAAGGTATTATCAAAAGTCGAGGTCAGGGAATGAGATTTGTTTAACAACTGACAGAGAGATTATTGCAGAAAAGCAGACTTTTTGGAGCCTCACTCTGTTGTATCTTTCCAAATAGTAAAACATGACATCCCATTTTCAGTAAACATTTAGTTGACCGAAGCTTCAACTTTCACATACTTACGACTTGGCTCATTTCAGACAGAAAATCAAGAAATGCATATTAAGGTGATTTCTTCTTTGAATGAGGAATAAAAATCATTACTTACTGTTTATGTAAAATAAAAATGAGTAGTTCTTTTCAACCTGTAAGCATTGAGTGAAACTAACACAATTTGATTATCAAACATTTGTAAGACAGTAATGATTATAAAGAATTGTCTTTTCTGCTTGATTAATTCAAGAAAGAAAGTCACCAGATGGCTCAGACTGTTTTCAGATCAATGAAAATAACAGTCTCTGTCCATCTGATAGATTTGAGGTCATCAGGGTCAGATCAGGCCAGATCAGGTTCACTACATTTATATAGCATCAAATCATAACAAAGTTGTCTCAGGGCACTTTACAGGAACATTCACATACATAAAAGCCAATTAGTAAAGTTCTTTATCTAAGGAATCCAGCAGACAAGTTGAATCTTGGCTTCGTTGCAGTCTCCCATCCTGAGCAAGCACAGTGGCAACAGTGGAAAGAAAAAACTCCCTTTTAACAGAAAGAAACCTCCAGCAGAACCAGGATCAGGACAAGAGACCATCTGCTTTGACCGGCTGGTTTGAAAGGACAGGAAGGAGAGACAGACTAACACAGAATGGTAGGTCCAGGTATAGGTCCAGGTGTATCTGAAAGACAAAAACACATGTTAAGGATAGAAAAAATAATTACAAATACAAATCAGGTTGTAAAGACAGTAGTAGAGTGAAAAAGTATGGTCAGTTTGTCCTCCAGCAGTCTAAGTCTATAGCAGCATAACTAAGGGACAGCTCAGGAAACCCAAGCCGACCCTAACTATAGGATTTATCAAAAAGGAAAGTCTTAAGTCCAGTTTTAAAACTGGATAATGTGTCAGCCTCACGGACAGAGATTGGAAGTTGGTTCCACAAGAGAGGAGCCTGAAAACTGAAAGATCTGCCTCCCATTCTGTTTTTGTAAATTCTAGGAACCACAAGTAAACCTGCAGCCTGAGAGCGAAGTGCTCTGTTAGAAAAATATGGAACAATAAGATCTGTAATATAAGATGGAGCTAGGTTGTTGAGAGCTTTGTAGGTTAGAATTAAGATTTTGAATTCTATTCTGTATTTGACAGGGAGTCAATGGAGAGAAACTAAAACTGGAGAAATATGATCTCTCCCAGTAACTCCAGTTAAGACTCTGGCAGCAGCATTTTGGATCAACTGAAGACGTTTTAAAGAAGTATTTGGACACCCAGATAATAAACCATTGCAATAGTCCAGTCTAGACGGGACAAATGCATGGACCAGTTTTTCTGCATCATTTTTAGATCAGATGTTTCTAATTTTAGTGATATTATGCAGGTGGAAGAAGACAGTTCATTGTTTTTCATTCCACCTTTATTTATACACATTAATCTCATTGAACCTCAGTAACTCATTTACAAGAGTGACCTGAATTTTAACAAAGAGTGATGACAACAATAGACAATCATAAAGGATGTGTACAATTATTTTTTTTTTGTAACATTTTTAATGTGGGGGATAAAAGACATGTCCTGATCAAAAATAACACCAAGATTTTTAACATTAGAGCTGGAGGACAGATTAATGTCATCTAAGGAGGGAGAAAGACTGAAAAATTCATTCCTAAGGTGCTCAGGTCCAAAAACCAAAACCTCAGTCTTGTCTGTGTTCAACAGGAGAAAATTAAGGGTCATCCAGGTTTTTATATCTTTAAGACATGCTTGTAGTCTAAGTAGCTGATTGGATTCATTGGGTTTAATGGACAAATATAATTGTGTCATCAGCATAACAATGAAAATTTATCTCATGCTGTTTAATAACTTTATCTAATGGAAGCATATATAAACTCTAAATTGTCCCTAGGTGTGAGTGAGAGAGTGAATGGTTGTTTGTCTCGTTTGTCTCTATGTGGCCCTGTGATGGACTTGCGACCCGTCCAGGGTGTCCCCCGCCCCTCGCACAGTGATTGCTGGACATGGGCACCGGCGCACCCCGTGACCCAAAATGGAATAAGCGGGTACAGATAATGGATGGATGGATGGATGGAAGCATATATAAAGTAAAGAGTATTTGTCCAAGCACTAAGCCCTGAGGAACTCCATGATTAACTTTGGTGTATGAAGAAGATTCATTTTTTATATTTACAAACTGGAATATATCAGATAAATCCAAAAAAGTTCAATCTGGTCCTCTGGACATTCAAAAAACAAGAAAACAAAACAAAAAAAAAAGCAAAAAAAAAATGTAGAAATGTTTCGTCTGTCATCCGAGAGACTTCCTCAGTCTGAGGTGCTGTATTCAGCTCACTCTGTGGATAAATACATCAAGTTCACACGAGAAGATGTGAAAAATGGCAAGTTGGCTTTCTTGGACTGTGAGGTCTCAGTCTCTGATAGAGGACATTTGCAAACTGAGGTGTACCGCAAACCCACCCACACAGACCAGTATTTGCAGTTTGACTCCCATCACCCTTTGGAACACAAGTTAGGAGTCATCAGGACTCTGTATCACAGAGCAGACAGCGTCCCCACTAGCTCAGGAGCCAGGCAGAAGGAGAAATCCCACACAAGACAGGCTCTACAGCAATGTGGATATCCTAACTGGGCCTTCCTGAAAGCAGAGAAGAAACCCAAACAGGACTCCAGTCAGCCATCAGGTGAAAAGGAGGAACCCAGACCCAGACCAGTGGTCATTCCATATGTTGAGGGAGTATCAGAGAAACTGAGACGTTTATTTTCTAAACATAACGTCCCAGTGGCTTTTAAACCCCAAAATACATTACGGCAAAGACTGGTTCATCCCAAAGATCCAGTCCCCCGGCACAAACAGAGTAATGTTGTGTATGCTGTTCAGTGTCAGGAGGGCTGTGATCAGTCTTACATCGGGGAAACTAAACAGCCACTGGCCAAAAGGATGGACCAGCACAGAAGATCAACATCATCAGGCCAGGACTCTGCGGTCTACACTCATCTCCAGGCCAACGGTCACTCTTTCAGGGATGAAGATGTTCACATCCTGGACAGAGAGGAACGATGGTTTGAGAGAGGAGTAAAGGAGGCCATCTTTGTGAAAAGAAACCGTCCATCATTAAACAGGGGTGGAGGCCTCCGGGTTCAACTGTCCCCCTCTTACAATGCTGTTATTGCTAGTATCACTCAGCCCTCTGTGAACAGTAAACAGCCATCAGTGTGCTAATGATCCATTGTTAGGCTGATGGTCCTTCTTGATCATGTGATCAGCTGGTTTTGGTTGTCAGCAGCAAAACTGGTTGATCCACTCTGAGAAGGTGCTATTTAAGAGACTGAGCTGAATACAGCACCTCAGACTGAGGAAGTACTTTGGATTAAAGACGAAACGTTTCTATATATATTTTTTTTTTGCTTTGTTTTGTTTTTTTGTTTTCTTGTTTTTTGGATGTCCAGAGGACCAGATTGAACTTTTTTGGATTTTTCTACCTGGATTATTGAGCATGTATCAGGATATCAGATAAATATGATTTAAACCAATTTAGAGCTGTTTCTGTAATCCCAATATCAAATTCAACCTCTGTAGTAAAATATTGTGATCAGCTGTGTCAAACGCATTCCATTAGCATGAACGTTTTTACCTGTGTATGTTTCAGATGATCCTTTTTTCAGCGTGCTGCATCTGCGGTCTGATTGCTGGGATTCTCAACTTCCAGTTTGTCCGGGCGCTGAACAAACGGCCGAACTCATTGCAATCCATCCACTTGGCTGCCATGACACTGGCATGTCTCGGTAAATGAGCTGAAGCCAAACAAACTGTACGACATCATCTGTTGTGTTACAGATTATAAGACAAACTGTCTTAAAACAGGAATAATTTAGTATATTTTGTTTGCAAGTGAATTAAATGGAAAGTTCAGGGAGAAGTGGGTTTTTGTTGAAAGGTTATGAGCAATGAATATATTACCTGTTGTAGATATCTGTTGTAGCTCTTTAAAGTCAGCAGAAATCCACTTTGGTTTTGGTCCAGATCAAACCAGCTGTTAATGCAACCCTGTCAAAATTAAGCCTCCAATCTCTGCTCATTCAAAGAACTATCTGCAACAGGTAAGATATTATTTGATCATAACCTTTCAGAAGCTGCTCACTTTAGAATATCTGAAATATTTCTTTAAGGAAGTAAAAACTGCATAAGTGTTTTTTTGTTTTTTTGTTTGTTTGTTTTTTTGTTTGTTTGTTTGTTTGTTTGTTTGTTTTCTACCTTAAATCGTGGTACTTTGGTTGCATACAGCAAATAACATTTGAATATTGTAATTCAGCACATCTGCTGCCTAAAATAAAACAAATTTGAATATCTAAACTTTACCATTTTTTATTTTAACATAAAATTTTAGTTATGTTCTGCACCTTTCTCCAAATTAGATATTTGTTTCCTCATTTGAGAATGAGAACATCAGAATCCACCACATCCTAAGCATTTATATTCAATTCAATTCAATTCAAAATTATTAATCCCAGAGGGAAATTATTTGTTGTTGTAACTCGTTATCCTCATTTCATTAAGAGATGTTATAGATGCTGATGGCTGTAGACAGGAAGGATCTCTTGTAAAGGTCCATCCCACAGTGGATCCTAAGAAACTGGCTGCAGATGCCGTCCTATCCGTCCACCCAGACTCGGCTGGCCTCTCGGTTCCCCCGGGCTGTAGGACCGCCCGAATGCTGGGCAGAACTCCTCCCAGAGCGATGGCCACTCCTCCCAGCAGTCTGTCGAGCTCCTCGTCGCTGCGGACAGCCAGCTATTTGTACCGAGGGACGATCCTGTCCTTCTGCTGTCATGAGCCATGTTTCCTGCTAGTTCCAGGATCTCAGTGATCAGGCACTTGAGCACAGCTGGCAGGTAGATGAGAATGCATCCACAGAACATCCTTTTCAACTCATTTGAGATTTGGGACTGTAGTTGAGATATTATTTGAGCTTTTGAGATGTTAATCAGCTGCTGTTGGTTGTAGAAAACTGCCTTGTTGCCATGGTTACGCATCATAACAAATGTCCAAAACTAAAAAAGTTTCAGTAAAAATCCTTCCAGCTGCACAGCATCTGATACCAGAGGAAACAATCATCCAAAAAATGTGATTTACATCCAGAAAAAGAGGAATTAAAGTTTCCAAACGCAAAATCTCAGAATGAAAGTAACAGAGCTGCTCCAACATGCAGCCACCTTGAGCGGCGCATTCTAGAACATTATATGTCTTCTGTACCAAATCAGCTAATTCATTTTCTGCTGAAAATTGCATTTTTATAGTGCCATCACAATTCATCACATCATCTGCCAATCCACTTATAGTTTTATTAGAAAACTTCTGTTTCTTTCACATATTTTTATGGGATGTGGTGGAAAAAAGTAGGCCAGGGCCTGCAGGATTTGTCCTCTGGGAATGGCTAATTTCTGTCAAAACTATTTAAAACTTCCTGTCTCCTCCAGGGATCTCATCTTGTACCTTATCCACATGGCTTACGTGTCGACTGGCCAGCTCTGAGCAGCAGAGGATGTTCATGGAGAGGGAACACTCACTGCACCACTCGCATGAGATGGCCGAAAAGGTAAGACACGGCAAAAAAGAAAAGAAAAAAACATCTAAAATGATTTTAGAAGATTCAGCATGGTGTAAAAAGTGTGTCTCATTTGTGTTTTTCTTTAGGAGATTCTTGACAACTCCAGTAACGGTATTGCTCAGGTCTCCTACAACGGACACACTGCAGCATCGCCTTGATGATTCCTGTCTGGAGACAGAGACAGTCAGTGTGACAGCTTGTAGTTCACAACATTCCCCAAAATCTGCTCCAAGACAATTATATCCCCTTGGAGCCTTCAATTTTCTCCCATTAGAGGAAGACAAACGTCACAAGGACAGGTTTTGTTCTTCTGAGTTATTATGCAAACATGGATTCAGAGCTCCTCTCTCCAACTCAAACCAAAGCCTGGATGTTGACTCTGTGTCCAATCCTTCCTGGCCTCGATGGATGGATCAGAATCTTTAGTGATGAGCACAAATTAGGCATGCAGCTGATCTAGTTTTATTGGAGAGATATCGTTATTTCAGTATCATTGTCCTGGTTCAGTTTCCCCGTCTAGTTCTTGGAATGCATATTGAGGTAACCACCAGTAAACTGTATTTATTGTCCAATAATGAAATGCTTTGACATAAAAATGATGAGCTATGTACTGGAGTATGTATCAATGCTTGTTTATCAAGTACCTAGAAATCCAAACTATTTTTATAACACTTCTTTTAAATGTAATTTAAATAAAGTGTATATGGCTAATCTGAGAAGTGGTCAAGCTTTGGATGAGTTTTGTGTTTGTGGCACCTTGTAAAAAAAAAAACATTTTAGAAATTACAGTACTCTATGAAGGCAAAACACATATCGAGTAGCATTTTTCTGCTCTCGCTCAAGGTGGACGCCTTCTCCTCTCCCGCCTGCTTTTTGCTCTCCGTCTGTGCCTCGGAGCTCCTGGTACACATCTTCCAAACAAAAAAAATACTATTATGGATCTGGTGAACTGGACTTTCAATGAAATTGACAAAATATTTTGAACAAAACGACTGGGTCCTGGAGAGCCCTCATGTCCTGCTGAGACTCATGCTGCAGGATACGTCATGGACCCATGGGAAGTTTGGAAGCTGATGTGTCTTTCAGTTCTGTCTCAGGAGGACGCCGAAGACATTTATATAATTGGATTCATGAGAGCAGGGTTTCTGCATTTTGGCATCGACAGGTCCCTATGTTATCGGCTTTTGAAGAAGACGGCAGCAGCAGTTTTGGCTATGACAAAACTGCCAAGTCTGTGTGAAGGTTTAGTTTGTGCTTCGAGTACTCAAAATCAGCTGATTTATGAGCTAAACTGTAAGATGGAAGCGATTTGTGAGAATCGCAGGCCACCTGTGGCTTCTAGGACTCGCCAGCATGTTGGAGTCGACCTTGAAGAAGGCTCATAGCACGGATCAGTGGAAGGCCCACTAATCTGGCCATTTTGGATCTGGAAAGTTCCAGCAGGACTCAAGGCTGACAAGAAAAAAACAGTCTGCCTGAAGAAAATCAACACTTGTGGCTTATCTGAATCTGACTCCCATGTTTGGCCTCAGATGTGGGCCGATTATCAAACTTCTCCTGGGACTTGTCTATCGCAAATCAAACGCATGTGTTTATAAATGTTGTTGATGGTAGAGTTTTTTGATGTCTCAAATCGTGTCCTGAAAGGACAAGATGTGAAGAGATCTTTTTTGTAATACCACTATCCCATCCTCATGGTCTTTTACCTTTTTCTATCTAAAAAAGTATTCTGATAAAGAATAAGAGGCCGTGCTCTTGCAGCAGCAGCAACGTGCACTAAGCCCATCTTTCAGACGACTGTACGAACATAATCTCACTGTATCTTGGTACAATGATAATAAAGTTTATTCTGATTCTGATCCTGAGGTTTTAACAGCCTTATAAGTTCAGTTCCTAAAACCCAGCATCAGCATCACACATCGATAGTTTGAAAACAATCTTGTCGACATGATTCAAGAGCCAACCACATTCTTGTGGGACCACAGTTTAACACAATAATGCCTTTGGCAGATGAAGTAAATCTGTTTTATAGCATCTCTCAAAGCACAAAGTGTTTCATGCAGCAGTAAAACGCAGCATCACATAAACTTACAGCGACTCTGACTTGTTGTAAAGATATGCAGCCGCTCTGACAACATCATGCTGCTCACCTCCTAATTATGACGGTTTGTTGTAGTCCAGACGTGAGTGTTGTTGTTGTGTGCACATTTCTCTGCCTCTTAACCACTTCCCATCGCAGCAGAAGCTGCTGGGAGCTCTGGCTGTTTAGGGCACCACATCACTGTTCATCACCGTGACAACAGACCGCAGAGGGGGGCCGTGACACCCCCTGAGAGAGCGGAGATCTGCAATTTACCCCATCAGTGTTTCAGAGAGGAGTGCTGAATCATGCCACCTCCTGTGGTGCTGCGCTGTCAGAAAATAGTAACACAAGATCTGTGTGCGCGTGTGTGTGAGAAGCTACTTCCACATGCCGTGTCTGTGTGGGCCCGGGTGTGAGCGTTCATGTGAGCGTGCACTAATCGACACCTCAGGTCACCCTAATGATCTTAATATGAGGAGGATTACAGAATCAATAAGTGCTCTTTCAACGTCAGCGTGAAGATTATGCAATAAATGTCAGCTTAGAAAGCAGTGCATGAAGTTAGTGCAGTGAATGAACAGTGAAGATGTTCCCTGAGTAATACTCAGTAACAAAAACTAAACCAGAAAGAACTGCAATTCATCTGTTAAATATACGTGTAGAGTTTGGAACTTGACAAAACGGAACATGAAAGTGTCTGTAAGCTTTATGTTGGTGCTTTAACAGACTGAAACTTCTGCGGACTTTATGAATTAAAGACCACTAATTAGCACTGTAAAGCGAAGCCCTTTTTAAAGCCACGTGATCCCAGCTGCTAACCTATCAAGGGAAATTACAGTTCATATCAGCAGAAACCTGGGGCTTTTGTGGGCTTTGCTTTAAGCCTCTGGGGGTTTTGGGATAATTGCATCTACAACAAACAAAACACTTATTCCCAAATATCCTTGCCCACAATGAGAACTCGCTGTGATCAGCTACAGTTCTCCAGCTTTCCTGAACTTAATAAAGGTTTAGAGCTTTATGACATGTTATGGGGAAATTTAACCAGGAAGTCATTTGAGATTTATTACTCTTTTACAGGAGAAACCTGGTCCAGATGGCAGATTATTACAAAGTTACAAGCTAAAAACAAACAAAGTTACTATCGTAAAGAAAATTAAATGAGTCTAAATCAAAATTAAAGCATGCAAAATCCAGCTTTAGGATAGTAGTTTGCATTGTTCAGATACTTTATGGGTGCTATAAACTCCCCCAAAGGGACAACAGCATTAGGTCTTATTGCATATTTTTATATGTTAAACACAATGGGGCTGATATTCTTTTTTTTTCTTCTTTTTTTCGGAATAAATCCTATTTTAAATCCCATTAATATGTCAATAATTATAAATATATTGAAAATATTTATGTAAGTCTGGATTTATTGTCAGGTTAGTACTAATGTTGTCAACAAATATTCACATTATTCATCCATCCATCCATCCATTATCTTTACCCGCTTATTCCATTTTTGGGTCACGGGGGTCACTGGTGCCCATGTCCAGCAATCACTGTGTGAGGGGCAGGGTACACCCTGGACGGGTCGCAAGTCCATCACAGGGCCACATAGAGACAAACGAGACAAACAACCATTCACTCTCTCACTCACACCTAGGGACAATTTAGAATTACCAATGAGCCTAACATGCATGTTTTTGGTCTGTGGGAGGAAACCGGAGCACCCGGAGAAAACCCACGCATGCACGGAGAGAACATGCAAACTCCACCCAGAGGGGCCCCTGGACCGGGGTTTGAACCAGGGACCTGCTCGCTGAGAGGCAGCAGCTCTACCAGTTGTGCCACTCTGCTGCCCTCAACTACATATATATATTTAATTGTAATAAGCTTGAAGCAGACGGACGCTTGTCCTGAGCCTGGTTCTGCTAAAGATTTCTTCCTCATGAGGGAGTTTTTCCTTTCCACTGTCGCCTTCATGCTTGCTCAGAATGAGAGTCTACAACGAAGCAGTCTGCTCCTCAGATAAATGGTGTTAAATTACTTTTTATGTATTTGAATGTTTCTGTTCAGTGCCCTGAGATGACTTTTGTTGTGACTTGGCTCTATATAAATAAAATAATTTTAACTGTTTCTAATAATTTTCTTCTAGTCACTAACGACGTCCCTAGATGTAATACCACCGCCTCGCCAGCAGGGGGCAGTGTTCAATTATAACTAGTTTCTGACGTGCGCAGCTGTTTTCCGTTTCTCAAAGCGGAAGTCGTGACTTGTTTGTCTTCCGGTTTCTAGCAAGCATGGCGAACTTCAAGCATGCCAAAGACGACAGGAGACATGTGAGCGCGCCCGGTGAAATGCCCGCCGCTCGCGCCCCGGTCGAGCCGGACAAAGCGTCCGCCGCTCGGGACGGGGCTGCGGGCGGCGTCCCCTGCGTCATCCCGTCTTTCGCCGCCGCCTCGCAGCTGCTGTCGGCGCCATACTCGTGTCTGGTTCTGAACCCGCACCGGAGACACGTCGCTCTGGCGCCGCAGTATCTGAACAAGAAGAGGACGGGAATACAGGAGGAGCTGGACGGAGAGCTGCTGAAGTTCTCCCAGAGGTGGGGTTATGGCCATGGTGTCCAGATACTCTGTTAATTTAAACTGCCTTCACTTGGTATTTTCATGTAGTACTTTTTCATTTATGGACAAAAACACGAGTATCAAGATACTGTCAGTTTTTACACAAAACAGAGAAGTAGCGAATAAGAAACAAATAAAACAACTCAAAATAAATGTGTTTCACGCCTTTATATAACAGATAAGTCTAATACTGTTATAAAACGTGTGTCTAATTGTTTTGAGTGCAACATTTAATGATATAGAAAGTAGTTTAAAAGCTGCAGTTATTTTCTTTTAACATTTATCAGATTTTAAGAAGATGGTCTAATCCATTTCAGACTTCTGACTGAACAACCTGGTACTGTTCAGTAACAACATCATTTTTAGATCAGACCTATAGGGATTAATTTAACATCTTAAATCACAACATGTTCAGGTAGTTCTACAGAAGTTACTGGAAAATAAGATAATTAGTTCTAAATTTAATCAGAACTGTTTTGATGGGTTTTTCTTCATTAAAACGTTGTCTTTTAATTTGCAAGACCTTGTTGTTGAATATCTTTCTGCTAATGGACAATGTGCTCCAGTTCAAGATGTCGGTGGGAGTTTGTTGTAAGCAGGAGTTTGCAGGTGTGTTGGAGCAAATAAAAGGTTTGGTCGTCACTCCCAGTGTCATAAACGTCCTGTGTTTGTGTTTTCCAGTGTAAATGGCGTGCCGTTAGCTTATGACAACATCAGGCTCCTGGGCCAACGAGGACACATTTACGATGACAGCGGCTACATCCACATGGACATAGAAGCCAACTTTATTGTATTTCAGCCCAAAAAGGGACAGACCCTCCTGGTAAGAGTCGCATCATTTAGCTGCTTTTATTTAAATATCTGGGGTTTTTTTTTTGTATTATTTTGTTTTGCTCTGCTCATCAAGCAGCGCTGCATATTTTGACAATAAACTAGAACTTCTATTCATGCCCCTGGAGTATAACTGGGATAAATATACCTGATTTCCACAGGGTAAAGTAAATAAACTAGCCATGAGCCACGTAGGCTGCCTTGTGCACGGCTGCTTCAATGCCAGCATCCCCAAACCAAATCGCGTCTCCATGGAAACCTGGAGGGATAATGGACCGAAGATCGGGACAGAGCTGGAGTTCAAGGTGATGGCTCTCGATGCTGATGCTGCAGGAGTCCTGCTGATCCGGGGACAGTTAGATCGGACCAGGTGAGTTGTGAGCTGAGGTGGTACGGAGGTCGGGTTCGATGCAGAGCTAATCTGGGCTAATGACCCGAGTGCTGACTGAGAAGGTGCTCAACACATCTGCCTGTCATAAGTCTCTGCTGCCACATGAGGGTGGCGTCACGTGGAACTGGTGTTTTGGTTCAGCCAAAAATAAAAATGAAATTATAGTGAGCATAAAAACTGCTTTTTGATGATGTGAACTGAACGTTTTAAGTGAGATTTTCCTGTTTTATCATTTTCTGCAGCGTGATTCTAATAAAACTGAATCCTGTTTAATGCTGAGGGTTTATTGCAACAGATAATAAAATAATTAAATGTTGAATCGGGATAATTTATAAGTCATGCACTAGATGACGTCTCTGTGTAGGTGCGTGTGTGATGTCTGTTAGCGAAATATTTCGTGAAACAGCAAGCTGATGTAATTGAAATACAAAAAGTTGGATGTGCATATCGAACTCTTGGAGTTGAGCTCGTTTGAGGCAGCCTCCACAGCTAATCTTTATTTAAAAATCTCAAAAATTGCTTTAACTTAGTCAAAAATTGAGCTAAAATTTAATGTGGTAGTAGCTGAGAGTCATTCACTAGTACCCACACCCCGAGCACTAAGAGACAGCACCAGTGGTGTTGCATGAGATTGAATGTTATTTTCAAGATTTGACAAAATGACCATAATTCATTTTATTTACATAGAAAATTATGATTGTTCAGAACTCTGGCTGCAAGCAATGTGCATTTCTTTAAGAAATTCTAGACCTTTAATTTAGATTATTAATCGATGCAATTGGAGTTTTTCCTTTTTTGTCTTATTTATTTCTCTAAGAGGAGAACATTCAGCTCTTTGTTGTGTAGACATGTTTTTTCCAGCTATATTTCAAACGGAGCAAAATAATAGTGCAGACCTGTGTCGCTCTCAGCTGACCCTTTAAACTTGTTCATGTTCAGATATTTAAATAACCACTGATCCCAAATCTCTGATGAGGATTAGATTTGAAATCAGTAGTTTTAAACAGACCTTGTCCATATGTTGCTAATCACTAACAAAGTTTACAAGTTAAACGCTCCATATACTTGGTGTACACAGGATAAATGTTGTAGTAGCACATGGATAACGGGGCCTGTACAAATACTATCTAATGTTTGGTTTTAATGGAAAAGAATCATGAGGAGTGAATTTGTTGAGCATGTTGAATAGGGATGCACAATATTATCAGCGTGGTATCGGACAATGTTAGCGATAAAGTTAAATATCGAACATCGGCCATTCCATCAAAATAACTCACCGATTTAAAAGGTGCTGTTTGTGTGTGTGTGTGTGTGTGTGTGTGTGTGTGTGTGTGTGTGTGTGTGTGTGTATGTGTGTGTGTGCACTACATTGCCAAAATAATTTGCTCACCTGCCTTGACTCACAAATGAGTTAAGTGACGTCCCATTCCTAATCCACAGGGTTCACTATGACGCTGGTCCACCCTTTGCAGCTAGAACAGCTTCAACTCTTCCTGAAGTCTGTCCACAGGTTTAGGAGTGTGTTTATGGTTTTTTTTTTAACAGTTCTTCCAGAAGCACATTTGAGTCACATACAGATGTTGGACGAGAAGACCTGGCTCTCAGTCTCCGCTGAAATTCATCCCAAAGGTGTTCTGTCGGGTTGAGATCAGGGCTCTGTGCAGGCCAGTCAAGTTCATCCTCACCAGACTCTGCATCCAATTCTTTATGGACCTTGTTTTGTGCACTGGTGCACAGTCATGTTGGAAGAGGAAGGGGCAGCTCCAAACTGTTCCCACAAAGTTGGGAGCATGGAATAGTCCAAAATGTCTTGGTATGCTGAAGCAGTCAGAGTTCCTTTCACTGGGACTAAGGGGTCAAGCCCAGCTCCTGAAAAACAACCCCAAACCATAATCCCCACTCCACCAAACTTCACACTTGGCACAATGCAGTCAGACAAGTACCGTTCTCATGGCAACCACCAAACCCAGCCTCGTCCATCAGATTGCCAATTGGAGAAGTTTGATTCATCACTCCAGAGAACACATCAGTGTCAGCCTGAGGGAAGAGGCAACGTGGGCACTGCTTTTAGCTTTTTAGCTATATAGCCTGTATTTTGCGCTGCTAGCTTAGTGTTATGTCAGTGCCGGGGTGGGGGCCAGTTCGGTTTGGTAGGCGCAGTGCTCAGTTCTGTTGACGGGGTGGGGCACCCCGCTTGTATAATGGTAGGGGAAACATTGCGGAGTAAACCCACGCATACACGGAGAGAACATGCAAGCTCCACCCAGAAAGGCCCCCGGACTGGGATTTGAACCAAGAACCTGCTCGCTGAGAGGCAGCAGCTCTACCAGCAGCTGGGTGGCTGTGGCTGAGTGGTTAGAGCAGTCGTCCTCCAATGCGAGAGTTTGGGGTTTGAATCCACCAGCAGTCACATGTCGAAGTGTCCCTGGGCAAGACACTGAACCCCTCACTGCCTCTGATGTGTGTCCCATCAGTGTATGAATGTGATAAATCTCTGATTAGTCTCTTTAGAATGATTTGTTCAATTAGCTTTGTAGAGATCTAGTATAGAGCTGTATGAACGGGTAAATGAAGCACAGATTGTTGTAAAGAGCTTTGAGTATCTCGATAAGATAGAAAGGTGCTGTATAAGTACAGTCCATTTACCAGTTGCGCCACCGTGCTGCCCTAATTTTGTGATATAACAAAAAAAAAACAGAAATCATAGTTATTTATTTGACAAAATCAACTTAACACGTTGCTTTGCAGTATTATATAAAATTTAAAAAAAACAAGGGGTAATTTTACTTAAATTACTTTATTTAGGAAAGTATTCAGTCTCCAAGTATAAAAATAAAAAAATTAAAATGATCCTTCTGTTACCAAAAAAGTCCATGCTCAATAATCCAGGTATACAATCCAACAATTTTCAGTCAGGTCATCTGGAGTTTCTTTTTTTGCTGAAACATTTCACCTTCCATCCAGAAGGCTTCATCAGTCAAGGAAACACAGCACAAAACTGATTCTTCCCCCAACAGCTTACTCCAAAGTGGAACAAACCAGTTATGTTGGTGCTAAGAAGGTGTCTTTAGCACGCCCCCTCCTCTGGAGCCGGCCCTCTTCCTCGTCGACAGTCATGACATGACTGTCCAGTAACACGGACGCCTGCAGCGCCAGCACAACGTGATGACGTCACGCACACTGTTGAGTTTAGATTTGTGAAAATTTACAAATTTGCACTGTTCCAGTGTTGTCATTGTGTTAGAGAATAAATGTCATGAATAAATTTGACATTAAACATCATCCAATTTGAGGTGTTCCATCATTTTCAGCCCCCTTTTTGTTATCTGCATTTGGTAACGGTCCAAACTGACAAAGACCTGCAGGATAATGTATTCTAGCTCCACAGCAGAGGAAGCTACGTAGTCTCTGTAAGTAGGTCTAGAAAAAAATATCGGTACATCGGATATCGGCCAAAAATCCAAAGTCGTGCATCCCTAATGTTGGAAGTACTTTATTGCTCTGAAATTTTACATTTAAAGTAAAAATAAACAATTTCCTTTAAATTATTTAATCATGTATTTGTTAGAAAAACGATCAAGCTTCTAATTTTCCCGTTGGTGCCTGTAAATTACGAGCACTAATGGTACAAAAGGAAAAACTGCTGATTATTCTCCATCCTTTGTTTTTGTGTATCTCAGGGTGCAGGAGCTGCTGGCTATGAGTGAGAACTCCGAGTCCGGCGTTCCCATTGAACAGCTGGAACCACAGGAAGCAGAACCAGCTGCAGAACCAACCCTCCAGTCCCCCGACGACACGCCCAAGAAAAAGAAGAAGAAGAAAAAGGAAATCAAAGAGGAGGAAACGGAAGGAGAGATACCGGTACCAAGTATACCTGCCAACCAGCTGAACGGAACAACGGATGAGACAAACGGCAAGAAAAAGAAGAAAAAGAAAAAAGACAAGCATTTAAAAGAGGAACAGGAGGAGGTGGAGATCTCTCGCGAAGACGACGGGAGCAACAGTTCTGTTAGCGAAAAACCTCGCAAGAAAAGGAAGCGTGAAAGTGTGACTGATCCCACATCTAGTACGAGTGAAGATAACGCACTGACAAAACCCATGAAGAAGAGAAGAGGGGAGGCCGATCGGTTTGTCTGAAGTGGAAAGAAATGATGGACTGGATGTTCTATAAGAAACTTACATCAGTGAGGCAGAGCACCTTGATGGATCTGGAGGAAAAGCTTTATGTGCCTTAATCAAGTGCTGCTCGGTTTGAACTTGGACTGAAGATTAAATGAGCAGAAGAAACCATCACTCAGTGGACTGTGATTTCAGTTTGCTGCCTGCTGGTGGAGCTAAACCACTTCACATACACCAGCCAACACAAAGAAACAGTCAGCACTGAACACCAACACAAACCAGTTTTTATTTGGAGAATTAAAACTGATGTAAAAAAAGAAAAAGGAGCTGTAAGTGTACGAGCCAGACAAGCAGAGATCAGATGTTTTATTTGCCTCCTCCGTTTGAAACAGTCTTTGTATCCACTTAAACAAAAAGTGAGATGTTCTTTTAGCTTCCTGGTTGAGTGTTTGACACAGTTACAGTGCAGCCAATAAACTTTGGAGAACTCAAGTCCTGTGTTTTATTTGCTTTGACTGAGAACCACAGAAATGTGAAATACATGTTTGGATCTCAAACCACAAGTGTTTGTTTCTCTTAAGTTGTCGGCAGGAGTAGTTTTAACATTACAGATGGGTGTGACAGAAAATTGTTATTAAAGGTGTGGCATTGTTTAATTTAAATGTGATAAAATGCACTGTTTTAACTTTATAAAACTTGCAGCTTCTTTGTTTTACGTCGTGAGCATTTTGATGAGTTTTACTTAAGCCAAGTCTTTTAGGGAGATCTAATATTACCAGTTAAAACAAAACTCTGAACTTTATGAACATTTTCACACTCATCTGTTCTGTGGGTGTCGAGGGATGAGTTGCTGAGAGACGCCACGGGATCTTTGTGTTTTCTTTACCTCCACACGCACACACACCCATCCTCTGGTTTTTCACTGGAACTCTAATTAGCTTTTAGGTGCTAAGACTTGAGCTTATCAGAAGCTTAAAGATAAGCTTCAATTGACTAGACTATTATTCAGTTCTCACTCACTGGCAAATTTCTCGTGGAGGTTTATGCTGCCTAACATTTTAGTTCAGGTACTACAAACCGGATTCCAAAAAAGTTGGGACACTAAACAAATTGTGAATAAAAACTGAATGCAATGATGTGGAGATAGCAAATGTCAATATTTTATTCGTAATATAACATAGATGACAGATCAAAAGTTTAATCTGAGTAAATGTAACATTTTAAAGGAAAAATGATTCAAAATTTCACAGTGTCAACAAATCCCAAAAAAGTTGGGACAAGTAGCAATAAGTGGCTGGAAAAAGGAAATTGAGCATATAACAAACAGCTGGAAGACCAATTAACACTAATTAGGTCAATTGACAACATGACTGGGTATAAAAAGAGCTTCTCAGAGTGTCAGTGTCTCTCAGAAGCCAAGATGGTAAGAAGATCACCAATTCCACCATTGTTGCGCAGAAAGATTGTGCAGCAATACCAGAATGGTGTTACCCAGCGTAAAATTTTAAAACTTTTAAGTTATCATCATCAACGGTGCATAACATCATCAAAAGATTCAGAGAATCTGGAACAATCGCTGTGTGTAAGGGTCAAGGTCGCAAAACTACTGGATGCTCGTGATCTCCGGGCCCTTAAACGTCACTGCACCTCAAACAGGAATGCCACTGTCAAGGAAATAACAGAATGGGCTCAGGAATACTTCCAGAAAGCATTGTCAGTGAACACAATCCACCGTGCCACCCGCCGTTGCTAGCTGAAACTCTACAGTGCAAAGAGGAAGCCATTTCTAAGCAAGCTCCACAAGCTCAGACGTTTGCACTGGGCCAGGGGTCATTTAAAATGGAGTGTGGCAAAATGAAAGACTGTTCTGTGGTCAGATGAGTCACGATTTGAAGTTCTTTATGGAACACTGGGACGCCATGTCATCCGGACCAGAGAGGACAAGGATAGCCCAAGTTGTTATCAACGCTCCGTTCAGAAGCCTGCATCACTGATGGTATGGGGTTGCATGAGCGTTTGTGACATGGGCAGCTTGCATGTCTGGAAAGGCACCATTAATGCAGAGAACTATGTTCAGGTTCTAGAACAACATATGCTCCCATCTAGACGTCATCTCTTTCAGGGAAGGCCCTGCATTTTTCAACACGATAATGCCAGACCACATTCTGCAGCAATCACAACATCATGGCTACGTAGGAGAAGGATCCGGGTACTGAAATGGCCAGCCTGCAGTCCAGATCTTTCACCTATAGAGAACATTTGGCGCATCATAAAGAGGAAGGTGCGACAAAGAAGGCCCAAGACGATTGAACAGTTAGAGGCCTGTATTAGACATGAATGGGAGAGCATTCCTATTTCTAAACTTGAGAAACTGGTCTCCTCTGTCCCCAGACGTCTGTTGAGTGTTGTAAGAAGAAGGGGGGATGCCACACAGTGGTACAAATGGACTTGTCCCAACTTTTTGGGGATTTGTTGACACCATGAAATTTGGAAACAACAGATTTTTTCCTTAAAATGATACATTCTCTCAGTTTAAACTTTTGATCTGTGATTTGTGTTTATTCTGAATAAAGTTTTAGATGTTGGCACCTCCACATCATTGCATTCAGTTTTTATTCACAATTTGTTTAGTGTCCCAACTTTTTTGGAATCTGGTTTGTAAATGACAAGGCTCAATGAGACTAACAACCTGTATAAATAACGGTTGAATGGAAATTACTAGTTTAGAAAGCAACAACAATAAACAAGCCTGTGTGTGAATGCAAGTCCTATTTTGTCGAGCGTACCCCCCCCCCCCCCCCCCCCACACACACACACACACACATTCCGACCAAACTCGGTTGAATTCAGTCCTGCGTGTTGTTCTGCTCCAATCTCAATGCCACTGCTTTCAGGTGCTTCAATTCTCTGTTGTCCACCTAAGGACAATCTATCCATGCATTTATTGGAGATAATAAATTGTCTTTTCGACATTTTGGTCGCTGTTATTTTGACTAATTAGTGCCATTGTTTTGAAACGTGATGTAATTTTAATACACCTCAAACATTTCACTCTATTTTATTTTTATTACTGTAAGCTTATTTATTATGTCTGAAATGTTATGCACCGCAGTAATGTGTGCAGGAGTTCTGACACAGCAGCTGTGCGCGCGTCCTGCAGAGCTGTCTGGAGACGCTGTGCGTAAAACAACCAGGGCGCACAGCTGAAGGCGGATGAAGACGCTCCCCGCGGGACATGCAGACCGCGTCTCTGCTGGGCAGGGGTGTGGTGTGGCCGGCCCGGAACATCCACTGCACAGACTGGACAACGTCTCGTTGTATATTTAATAAATAATCAAAATAAAAATGTGCAATGACTTTGGACTTTTAGGGACGGAGATTTGAGTTGCCGGATCCGAGCGGTCAAAATGAGCGCGTTCCCTGATCTTGTTCCGGCATGATCCGGTTCAAATTAACCACTGGTTTTGCGCCCTCTATTTCTGCTCATTTGGATTACTGCAATCAGCAGTCGGATGATCAGATCATTCACTCACCTAACATAAACTCGTTGCAACTCTTGACAGCCCTGTTTACACTATCCTATATGTATATATCATTAGTGCAGTGGTGTCAAACTCATTTTCATTTTGGGCCACATCAAGCTCATGAATGTCCTCAAAAGGCCGGACATGGCAGACTGTAATGATAAAACTACCTATTAACAAACTGGTAAAATTTTAACTTTCTCTGCATTCGATTACTACTTGTAAAAATTAAACATTTTATGTTTGAGTAATTTGGCGTAGTGATAGTAAAAACCATCGATCATGCCTTTTGCAGAAGGAAAAGTTCTCCTTAGACAGTGGCCTTCTGATCATCTGCTCAGTCCTGTCTAAATCTGAGAGGAAAGATGGCCACTCATCTGGCTCAGCTGGCGGAGCTGATGATCTGTGGTGTGCCTGGGACTTTGACGTGGAAGCTTTTGAGGAAGACACAAAAGAAAGACAATGACTAAATAATAAGGACAATAAGGATTTTTTTTTTTTTTTAGCTTTGCTTTAAAATGTAATTCTTGTTTTGTGATTTGTACTTCTGTAGTTCAAGGCTGCATCGCTTTTTTAAACATATTTAAGGTAAATATTCCTGAGAGATCCAATAATTTTGTGTATTTTTATGAATTTTCGGCTGATTTAACTTTATTATTTAATAGTCATTAAAGTGACAACAGGATTTCATGATAAAGACGGCACCGTTAATTAACTGATTTATTTAAATCTTCACTGATAAAATATATATAAATATATGTTGTTGTTTTTTTATACATAAAATGTTATTAAAAATCGTTTCCACCCTTCGTCCCAGACTCGTCCTGGTCTGCCCATCCGCCGGGATCAAGGTTCGGCCTTCATGAGCACGCAAGGCCGTGGTCCGGGCAACGGCCTTCTGCGAGACAGCAGCTCGTATGATCCTCCGTGGTGACCAGCGGAGACCAGCGGAGATCAGCGGAGCCCGCAGAGCGCACAAGGCAGGAATCCAAATCCCGAGTCGGCAGCACGGAGGATCTTCTGGGGTGACCAGCGGAGTTCGGAGCCGGGGAGATGATGCCTGCACAGCCTGAGGGGGCTCCGAGGCTCCAGTGGAGAGGACCGGGGTGAGTCAGGGACCAGCGGAGTTCCATTCTAGCTCGCTCTGAATTTTGTCATCGGTCACCCACCAAGCACAAAAAAGGTCTGCACTTCAGCATTAGACGACAGTGTTGTCATTATTGCTTTTAAAATCTTAAAAACAGGTCCAATCGCTCTTCGAGTTTGAACACCGGTAATTGCAAATGATGGATCGAATGTTGTGAAAATTCTCAAATCCCTCCAGTGGCTCCACCCCAGTGGCGGCTGGTGAACATTTGTCCAAGAGGGACGCTATATATATTAGGGGTGGGCGATATGGCTCAAATATAATATTGTGATATTTCAGAGCATTCTGGCGATAATGATAAATTTCGTGATATAACAAAAAAAAGAACCAGAAATCATAGTTCAAGATGGCGCCCGTGTACATGGCTTGCAATCCACCTCTGCTTCGGATTATTTTTGTTTTTTGCATTTCACATCTGTGACATCAACTCTCTGGTGGTGTATGACAGACAACAACTTTTGGATCTTCGTTTTTCTGTCACCGATGTCGCTTATTTGGAACAATATGAGCGTACCTCTGGACCCCCCCCCCCCCCCCCCCC